TGAAATTAAGTCCAATGAATCCTAACAATGTATAATTTAAAGGATCATAATGGTGTATTTAGGAGCTCTGGTCACTTAATTCCTAAGGCATCTGACTGATAAACTGAAGGCTGGTGGTTCAAACCCACCAGCCACTCCTTGGAAGGAAGACTGGACAATCTATTTCCATAGAGATACTGCCTCGGAAACCCAAGGAGGTGTCCCTATGAGTTGGAGTCGACCGGTGTATTCGGTCACTGCATTTTGCCTTTGGATCTGTTAGTAAAATAATAGTGTGTTTTGCTTAAATTCTTCTGAAACACTTGAAGATGTATTTTTCAGGCACCTTTGATAGTTTGATATAGTCTGTAGAACAAGAATGTAATTTATGACTGAAGGTATGCTTTATAACAAACTAGGCTCCATTAGAGCAATAGGGACTAGGAAGGAAAACTGGACAATCTACTTCCGTAGAGATACAGCTTCGGAAACCCGAGGAGGGGTGGCTATGAGTCATTTACGACTCGATGGCAGTGAGTTTTGTTTGGTACAGCAATAGGGATTTCACTATAGGGCACAGGAGACTCGATAAAGGAAAAAAGTATGGGGTTTAACCACTTTATTCAAGCTGCTTCGTAGGCATTTCTGTTAATTAATCTTTAAGGAAATTAGAAATATTTATTTTTATGACAGCATTCGTGGGTAGTGTAAACAGTTAAGACACTCAGCTGCCAAATGAATGTTTGGAGTTTGGAGGGTACTGAGAGCAACTCAGAAGAAAGGGCTGGCAATCTCCTTGTGAAAAACCAGCCATTGAAAACCCTGTGAAACACAGGTCTCTTCTGACAACAGATGGGAGGGCCACGAGTCAGAACTGAAATAACAGAGAACAGCTGTGTTTATGACGAGTGATTTAACTTGAAGAGGCTATGGAGGCTAGAAGCACAAAAACATAGATCCTGAATGTTTGTAACAAAACATGTTCCATCTGGAAAATGAAAAGAAAATTAGCTCTTCAACTTTCATACA